GCCCCCGCCCCGGCCGCCGCCGCCGCCGCCGCCGCCGCCGCCCCCGCGTCGCGCGTATAAGACCGCCGGCGCCACCCGCCGGCCCGTCCCGACGCTGCTCAGCGGCCACAGCACAGCGGCGCCGATCCAAGCGCAGCACTCACAAGCGGCGGCAACTCAGGAACCATCCGCGCCACCCACGCAATCAGCACCATGGTGAGTTCCACGACATGCAGACGTGTGGGGTGACTAAGCGCCGCTGCCTGAGTAGAATGTTGGAGTGTAAAACGCTTTCGCGTAGCTGCCCGGTTGATTTGTGGCGGCGTAAAATGCCTACTGATTGATTGACTTGTGGGAGTGTGAAACGCGAAAATGCCACTGACTGATTGATATGTGGGTGTGTGTAAGATGCTTAGCACCTCTGCCTAATTTGGCTGCTGAAGTGTAGCCTTGGCGCCTGTTTTTGTTGTGTAGAAATGTAATATGCTTTAGACTGCTGCTGATTGAATTGTGAGTGTGTAAGATGCCTAGTCATCTCTGACTGAACTATGGTAGCTTCAAGTGCTATACTGAAGCACAACGTGATTGATGCGTTGCAGTTGCAACCTTACCTGATTCGTATGTGGGAGTGAAAAAATAATGCTTCTGATTGATTTGCTGGAGTGTAAGATGCCTTCCTGCCACTGTTTGATGTGTGGTTGTTGGACAGCTATTTTATGTAGGAGTGTATGAATAAAACATTTCTACGTCCTGATAACAAAGATATAGTGTTGCACATACAGACGAGTCGTACGCACAGAAAAACTATCACAGCAGACGGTCTTTCACACGCAGCACACCAGTGAAGGGCCTGTGGTACCCGTCTCTCACGTCAGGGTGAAACCCTGACTCTGAAATTTCCACTCGCCCCATTCCACGCTTTCTGCATGACTGGACGTGCGCCGAAAGTCCATTCTCAAGATCCCTGAAGTGACAGTAGCTGAACATGCTTGCTATTGAATAAGAAGTGAATGTGCGCCGTTAAACTACACTTTGTCAGGAGTTGAAGCAACCAACGTATTGTAACAACTAATAACAATTTGTGCTTTGGACAAGGGACACGCTCTGCCTATCGTGGTGTTATGATGGACATTCTACAGACTCCTTCATCTTCAATGAGTGGAGAGGAACCATCACGACCCATTATGTGCGATTACTATTGAAAAACGTGTTATTTGCCATTTGTGTATTTTCATTTCATCAAAATGTTTCGTTCCTTTCTATCAACATTCACAGCTTTCATATTAATTCATTAATTCATATTCATTAATAAGAATATGCTTGTTGAATACAGAAGTTAATAATACTGTTATCAATTTATTAAAATTGAAAAACGCGTATATATATATACAATAGTTTCTACAGAATAGGAATACAGAGTATTCGGAACGATGTAGATTATTCGGTGTGTTAGAAACAAATATTGAAGATATTGCTACCAGTCACCATCAACATCCATTCTTTCAAAATAGTCTAGTAATGAATCAGAGACTTAGTTACCAACTACTCAAAAAACACATGAAACGATAAAAATTGATTTAATTATTTTCCACAAAAACGAAATGAGACTCATTCAATGAGAAAACTACACTTAGAGAAGATTAGTATGTAAATGTGGCGATATATTTGCGCGGTGTATACGTGTGAGTCTTAAAGCGTCCATGACGGGGAGGTTCTGAAGGTAGATTTTAAACAGAAGATTCTAATGCCTAGAATATGGGCAAAATTAAATTTCAGCCAATAGAGTACAAGACGTCAGTTCATAGAATTTATCCCTGCAAAAGTTTCACTTTTATTGTCATTTCATTTGAATTGATAATTATGTCTGTTGTTTCTTTGACAATGAAACCAAGCATAATTTTTCAAAATATTTATGAAGACTATTTCACAAACAAAATAAATATTCGCGAACTAGTGCGCCGTCTCCTACATCTCCACCGTTTCATTCTTCTTCTCCTCTTCCCATTATTTTCTCGTCTTCACCCCCTCATTAAAATTTTAATTTGCGAAATAGTCTTCGTAAATTCCCCTCCAGCTTTGGATATTCTCAGATAAGTTCGCTCATAGCTTAGCGTCTCGTGAATTTGCTTTTCATTTCCAAAGAGCTTGTGATACTATATATTAAATAATTCTTCATGTTTACTTCTCTGTTCAATCAATTGTTACTTCTTGCGATCAATGCAATATCATGCGTTCGCTGGAGTACACGCCGATGTTTCTGCCCCCCCTGGTCAAACTCGCATCCTGAGTGCCGCACGAATCTCTTCCCCACAAGGCTCTTCGCCATCAGCTGGAAAGACAGTATTGCGAGTTCGCGATTGCGGGTCGAGACTCCGCCCTAGACAGAACCGCCACTGGAGAGTATAAAGGAGAGAGCAGATGAACGGAAAGAGAAAGATTCATCAACATTTACTATTACGCAACTGCTCAGTATATCAAAGATCCTCAAACACACACACTGGAATGAGGTAATAAGAGACGATGTAATTTGGTTTCCAAGAACCGATATGAAAACACTTCCACGATTTAAGAAGGTTTACACAGTTACGATTGAAGACTGGTTCAGTGCAATTCTATGAAGTTGAAACAAACTCAGAAAGGTAAGTTTATTAGTTTTGTTTCATTCCTGGTTCAAAGTAAAACGTTCGGAACATTTTTTTTCTTCCTATTTTAATTTTTGTATCAACCCGAGTTTTATGTAGGATTAAACTTTTCATTTGAAACTTGCGTGGATAATGTACCATTATTCTTCACTTTTATATTATTTAAAAAGACGAAACCATCAAATTTTACTTCCTCATACCAAAACACGCCAAAAATGACAAACGTAAACGTTAAGGTCAAAACAACTTATAACGTGAGTTACCAAAACTATGTTCAAGAGAGACGTTGCATTACAAATAACCTAGCTAAACAGTATCAAATATAAATAATAATCGTTCAGAAACGGAGAAATAAGAAAAAATCAAAACAATTTAGAAACTGATTTCTTAAGAAACGATTTCGTACTGTATAGTTTCACTAGGACGTTGAGAAGAAACTGAACACGAATAGAAGACAGATGCTGCAAGAAGAAGAAGAAATGAAGATCATAAGAAAAATATGCAGAAAAATAATTCAGAATAGTAAAAAATCTCAGGACAAAAAAAACATAATTCATGAAAAATCGTAAACCATTGGTAGATTTCTGAAAATGTGAAGAAAAAAGGAAACACAATCATATTTCACAGACAAAACGTGGCAGAAGAATCAAAATCAGAATTTTGAAAATGTGTGTTTTGGGAAGGCTGCAGAAATAGTAAAGCGAGCACTATGTAAATCATACTCTCCTAAAAAATTAGAAATATATATTATATACTCAAACAATATTGATTACAAAATTAAGGAAGGTGAAACTAGAATGTATGGCCTCAGTATCAGTATTGCAGCAATCGATGTTAAATGTTTGTAGCCAATTCAAGCATGCATTGTGTAAACATTGTAAATTATTATATCGTTGGATGTACTATAGCTAATCGATTTCTACAGGCAAAACATAAGCTGAACAAGGATGACGAGGACGCAGTAACGAGAAAAGTGAGTAACAGTAGGAATTTGTAACTGAATTTGATTTTTAGGAATATTAAGTAGATGTTGCGCTAAGAGGTTCTGAAAGTGGTGTGAAGTTTAACATGTATTAAAAGCAAAGAAATATGTATTAGCAATAAATCAAACAAAACGTAGTATACAATGCGTATTGTATTCATATCGTATTTCAATTGTATTTGGATTGTATTTGTATCGTATACAAACAGTATTCCCAATTGCATTTGTATGGTGTACTAATGTATACGTATTCGACGACATGTATTTTTCCAAGATACGAACGTATTTCATATACGCAGCTAGGGTAGAGATTATCGTCCCACATAAGATTGAACAAGGCTAATAACTAGTTAGACAACCGAAACCATTCCGCACTTCGTAAATGAATGTAAACGTTAAAATAGCTTTGCACAGGAACCCATCTTTGAAGGGACAAACTCTAAACTGTTCGTAACATTGTGTAAGCCTGATACTGTGTGAAGGTAAACATTGTTAAAATGTCAAGTGTATATTAAAGAATTAATGGGTTTTCTTCTCAATTTTCGTTAAAGCAAAAATAATTCAAATTTTATTAGTTATTGAAGTTTGGTACTTTTTGAAACTGGGCCTAGATGGTAAAATAGAGAATTAAAGTAAAACTTTCATGCAATGATTTCCATTTACAACCACGTTTTTAAATTGCTTTTTATCTCCACTATAAGATGAAAAACGTGTTTTACAATAAAATTTTTAACGAATGTGAATTCAATTCTTTTAGAAATTGAAAAATGTTTTTATCACAATTTTCGTTACGACTGTTCATAGTTTCAAATATCTTTGAAATTTTCGAAAGTCATTTTCAAAGGCCTAACTGAAATTTACTTCATGTTTTCTTGTATCCTGCTGTAACTACCTATTGCGCAATCCTGTAAAATCGAAGCGGCTACATCTCTTGCATTTTGTAACATCCAGCAAAAATTATATTTTAGCAGATGTAGATACAGAACAAAATAAAAATACAGTCTTTTATCAAGAAGAACCTGCTGTTCACATCAATTCTGTTATGACATATTGCGTGGGAGCCTCGAATGATTGTGCTAGTACTCGACCTTCACAAGCAGTTTTCGAGTGCCAATATTTTTACAACTTTTCGACGATCGCGGTTGCCATGAAGTACTTAAACGCACAAAAATAAAATCCAATAAAAAATGTTGAGCCTGTTTATCAAATTACCCCTTTCAATTCAAAATGCATTTTTCACGTTTGAAAAACATTTCCACTGCCAAGCGAGACTAATTTTTGTGACGTTTTCATGGAGCGTCCATCCGGTGTATGACCTCTCGACCCGTCTATCGCGTTTGCCTTCTGTCGTTTTCAGCTCAGCCCCCACACACATTTCTAGTTCCTCTTCCTCTCTAGTTACCACTTTCCGTACGCTTTATCCCAACGAAGATTACTCCTTGCCCTCACGGTTTTTTAAAGCCAGTATAAGGAAAGTAAGAGACTAGTGTGCATAAAATGCTGTAGTGTATTAAAGGAGATTGACAATAAATTGGTGATTAAACAATTTCAGAGCTGTGATAGGTTGCTTCGGACAATCACAGATCACACTATTATTTTAGTGGGAACGTAGATATTCTAATCAAGAAATGTACTTAGTATGATAACCAGCGTATGAATATTAGAATATTCCACTCCTATCAGGAGTTCAAGCCTAAAATATATTTTAAAGTATCGTGGCGAAAGATTGAAGTAGGGTTTTTATCAAATTAATGGGTCCCGTACAAATATTTTAATCCTGCAAATAGGTTTTAAAAGTAAAAATGGAGACAAAAAGAAACGAAAGCTAGAGTGACCACTCTCTGAAATGTACCTTACAAGGCCAGTATTGTTCCTGGGTAAATATTATTACATTGGTAAGTGTTAGGTAACAAAACGTTTTTGGCGCTTAAAATGCAAACAGTATCTAATAGAGAGTACAAGTGAATGCTTTTATCACCCATGTTATGAAATGGGTTACCCAAAAGATCTAAATATTTAAAAATGTTGATAGACATTAAGAAAGATCTCCTATTGTTGATTGCGGGTTAAGGAACTAACTCTGACCTGCATGGGAGTAAAAAAACAAGAGTTTCAAGAGCTTAGTACAAATTGTTTGAGAGTAATGTGCAACAATTCAATATATTGCAGACTGCATGTCTACAACATGTGTGCAACATTGCCACCTCTAGGGCAAAATGTTCTATCCAGCAATAAACAATTTTATGGATTATTCTGTCGATGAAAACTTGTAAATCGTACTAAACCCATCATCTTTCCTTTGTGAATTATTCATATATAAGATTGGTGTAATATAACATGAATGTAATAACTGAAAACATCATAAGAGTTAATACTACAGGTAACATTTTTAACACAGCCTAATTTGTAATCGTGTATCGATAACAATTCATGTTAGAAATATCGATACTTGTTACTCGGTACTCTCAACGTAGTGAAATATCGTTGACTGTTGGTAATGATACAAAAGATTCCATTCAAGGGCCACATCATCACTGTTCCTTGACAGTTCTTTGAAGTGAAGCGCTGTATTGATTAATAAATTGACATTTCCCACTGAATCCATTAAATTACGAATAAATATACATAGTTATGAACGTGATAGGAATAAATATTCAAGAACCAAAACATTAAATTCAACTATGTTTTCTTTCTCTGCATACCACCTAAAGGTATTTTATTCGCGCCACAGACATGTAATTAAAGTTTGTTTAGTGAACCACGGCATATCTTTTGAGGTACGAACGGTAAGTGCCATACTAAACATTCACAGAAGAGGAGACTTGAGTCCGATATCTCATTTCACAGACAGTTGTACCCAGAAGTGATCTGCTTTTGACTTCCAGAGTTAGATAAATGGAACGGATTCTCGTGAAGGATGATTGATTATCAGAAGGAATATTATGGGTAATACATACGGGATAAATAGGTGTATGCAAAGCTAGACACGTGATAATAACATCACAAAAATATGTGTGTCTTGGACGGGACTCGTCGATATAGGTGTCTGCTTCACGTACTTCGAAGATACACCACAACGAGCCTTTCTGAACATCTGCGGAAGCAAATCTCTCGTCCTATCCATCTCCCCACCTTAAACCTCTCCGTTGATCCCCGCTCTAGTCATCCGCCAGCCATCGCCCTGTTCCCCATCCACCCACGCCCGCCGCACGCCTCGGTGGCGGCGGCGGTGTGGCGGAACGGGCGGGGCGGGGGCGGGAAAGGGCGCTTAACGAGGAAATGGTCGGGAAATGATTTCCCCGAGGAGCCCGTGAGGACGGCGAGGACGGCGCTAGGACGGAAGCCCTCGCCGGGGATCGACGCTGCCTCCCGTGGGATGGGACGACTTGCGCCTGACGTGCGCTTCTCGTCTCTCGAATATGCGCTGAACAGTTACTATTCACTCGCGCCACGAATTGGCAGTATTGTGTTGACGTACAGAATGATGATGAAGATAATAATAATAATAGTAATAATAATAATAATTATTATTATATTATTATTATTATTATTATTATTATTATTATTATTATTATTATTATTATTATTATTAGAATCATTTCCCTATATTATATTTTCAAGAAAGATGATGGTTTATTGGACCCAATTGAGCAAAAGCCACGCAAATGCCCTACTATTGGCATTGGAATTAGCATTCAGAGAATTTTCGACAGATTGACAGATATGAAACCAAATAATTAGAACATTGTAGATCATTCAATGTAGAATATTCAGTAGACACACGTGCCATACACGTCGCAGTAACACACGTAACCATTTAATAATGCACGTCAGGCTCTTACTATCAGAATTCAAGTTTTCCAGATCGTTATGTAATTTAACATTTAGCTTTCCTGGAAACCTTACTCCACAGCGTGGGTTCTAAGAAAGATGCAAAATTTCAAAATTAGTACGAAACTGTATTGACTATTATTTGATGTTATGTGAAGTATAATTGCACGAGCCCAACTTTGTTTGTTAATGAATTAATCTTTATGAAATACCAACGCGTTTACTGATTACAATTGGCAGCTTCCTCTTGGAGTTTTGTAACCTCCACTTGCCATCTCTGGAATCTTAGAGCACGCTGGTGCGAGGGACTGATCTGGATAACATTCGCGTTTTCCTTTACTTGACGTACCTGTAGTAGACAGCTCGCATGAAACCCTACGGATTACTTCTGAGTCGAGTTGTCAAGACACGATCTGCTGAGAACCTCAGACACAAGGCCTGTAGGAATGTAGGACTATATTGGCCGTATCATATTTCTGTCTACTTGATATCTGAGGTTTGGGTAGAGTGATATTGCCACTTACTTGGGTGGCAGACACGTGGTTGGTCCCGCATCAGATCACAATATCAGCAGTAGCAAGACACAAATTACAAAAAGATCACACAACGGCAACACTGAGCCGCTCGCACATAAGCGCACACACGACACACATAACCAAATAAGTAATGACACTCTTCAATTTCAGTTACTTCACACTGTTAAGATTTCATTTTTTCTTAATAAGTGTCGCCAACTCTTCAATGACATCATCCGAATTTAAAGCT